TAGCACAGTGACAATAAACAGATTGATATAAATGGGTTAATACAAGATATAAGAGTTAATTAAAATTATGCCTAAGATACTGGGCAAACAGTGTTGTAATTCATATAATCTGTGTGTCATTATTCTGGTCTGGGCAGCCAGGAAATGAACAAGCAGTCTCTGTCAACTATAGAGTGGGGAACATTTTGAGAAAACTCTGTTGTTGTTTGCAGTTAGGGATCCTGGAAACAAGAGAGGATCAGCCCCTCCCAAGGAGAACAAGCCTCAGCTGTAAGAAGACCTGGCACACTCAGAGAGGCAACAGCTAGTGGTTTACCTCAGGAAACAGATGCATGTTCTGACTAAAGACTGTTTACTGGGGCCTGAGAGATGGCTCAGCAGATAAGGGTCCTTGTTCTTCCAGAAGGCCTTCCTTCCCTCCACAGCATCTATTTCAGGTGGCACACAGCCGCCTCTAACTTCTGGGGACCTAATTCCCTCTTCTGTTCTCCCCAGAACCTGTCTAAATGTACTAGGCATTTACACAGGCCCACTTTCATACATGTTGAAAACAATTTCCACCTGTGAAATAACTGAAGTGAAATGACCGCAACAGGAAAAAGGAAAACAAACAACAACAACAACAAAAATAAAACAGGAACATAATGACAGCGCAATGTAATGCTTTCATAGTTCTGGAATGCATCTTAAAAATTGGAACACTTCTGCAGAGTCACAGTTTGTTCTAAATGCAGTTTAAATGTATGACCACATAGGAAGGAAGTGGGTTAGGGAAGCTAATGCAAGAGTGCTGCATCCTCAGTGACAGGGCCAGCAGCTGCTATGCTGTTGCACATGGTGAATGAAGGGGACAATGCACTTGAGTTCATAAAAATAGAAGAATGTGCTTCAAAATTTTCACCATAAAGATGATTGCTTGAGAAATGAGACTAGTTATAAAAAATAAGCAACTGCCTCAACAATAACTCACAGCAATGGCCTTGCTTTATTTGTACCGCCAGCTCCCAATAATGACCCAGACATTTCTTATTAAGTATGAAATCTTCACCTTATCTTAAGCTTATTTTCAGTAACTCTTAAAACTTTAATTAAACCATTTATATTAAAAGTTCTGCCATATACCTCATTACCTCATCTATATTGTATGTCCAAATTTCTCTGCTTCTCACTGGCTAATCCCCTGTTCCAGATTCTTTCCAGAGTTCCCTTCTTTGCCTGGAAGTCTTGCCTATATCCTCCTAAGCTATTGTCCATACTGATCTTTATTAAACCAATCAGAAGTTGCCTTAGACAGGCAAGGAAGGACAAAACACTTCTTCACACCGTGCAATCTAATATTGAATTCTGAGTTCAACAAAGTAAAGACTGTCTGTAAACTTGCTGGTTATTTTTAAATATACATTTAAAATGATAGATTTAGTTTCCTGAGAAGTCGCTTTGCCATTCTTATAAAATACAACTTGATTCAGAAGTGTCATGGGCCATATTCTAGTTCTTGCCCACAGGAGGAGTCTATGCCATGCTTGGACACCATGGGGCAAGAGAATTATGAACATCACATTTCAATTCCACTACCACAATTCTCCCTCTCACAAGATATTTTGAGTGTTAACTAGTCTCTCTCTTCTTTCCCTTCCTCCTCCCTCCTGTGTGAGCCTTTGTGTTAACAGGTAGCATTCAATGATAAAATTTTGGTGTCCAAGTAAGAACACAAAGGACAGATTTTCTTTAGACAGATAAGAGTGTACAGCATGGTAACAGTGAGCAGTAAGAGTGGCAAAGAACATTGGAAGCAGAGAGGAGAGATCCCGATTCCAACACTAGAAAGTGACTGGAAATAAACCAAACCAACATGACTTTCAGTAGGGAACCAAGAAACAAATAGACATAATGTAAAACACCATTAAATAGAACCTGTGAAATCTTGTTGACTATATATCTGTGCACAATGAGAAGACAGTGGGTCACGTGAATAAGTTCAACTCAGTCATTCAACCTAACTGGATCCAAAATATGATTATGGTCTCTTTACCATCACCTGGCCAATGAAAATTAAAATTGAGGGGTATTTGGCAAAGAACAGTCTTCAAAGTATTTTCCTTTGCAAAAAAACACAAAACAATTTAAGCTGAAGACCATGTGACCATATCATTGGAATCTCCTTAGATCTTGAATTTGTTCGGGTAAGGTACTCTGGAGCATGTGTTCTTTACCCCCACAATAAATATTATTCTAATCTGGATATTTGACTTACATTTCCTGAAAGGAATATCTTAATATCATAATTTATCACATTCATATTCTCATATTATGATTTTACATGCATAAATCTAGCTGTGGAGAAATTAGGTGAATTTATTAAATAGAAGTCTCAGTACTAGGCATGGGAGTTATTGTTCAGAGGCCTCTGAGGTATGCAAACAATAGACAATTGTCTTGGTTCTTGTTTGCCCATCATAACTTAATGGTGAGATCCTATGTATAAAAACACTACATTCTACTGCTGCATGACATAGAGAAATCAACCTTGAATTGACTGGGGAAAGGTTTCCCCTACAGTTAGATTTCATAGTGCTAGAAGGTGCTATGCAGGCTGCTGGAAAAGGAAGGGTAGCAATAGTATTAACCAGTGCTGGACCCTGCATGCTATAGTACTGAACTTTCAGGTGCTATGTGTCCAGTGGTGCAATACTGTCCTCACTGCTACAGTAAAACAATGCTTTCTGATTTGATACGAAGTCTGGTGAACAGGAGAGAATTCATACCTAATATCACAACAAGGCTCCAAATCCCATGGTTCAGAAGGTCTTAAGCTCCAGGAGGAAACTACTGCTGTTATTTAGCTAAATGGTCACATCAAACTGCCTTCTAAGTGTGTTTATATTCACAGGTTATTGCTAGGCTCCACCTTGGTTAGAGTATGTGTTTCAGGAAATTTCTTTAACAGATTTCTTACACCATTTTATTAAAAATATCTTTACTATAATGACATTTCATTTGTATTTTAATAAATAAAAACTTCCCTAAAGTTCAAAGAGTGAAAGAGCTACACTGGTCAGTCTTACATTGCAGTTAGTAGTAACACACAATTTTAATCCCAGTAGACACACTAGTTTGCCATAGAAACTGGACAGTAGTGGTGTGGTACACACCTTTAATCCCAGCCCCACAAAGGAATATAAGATGGGAAGAGACAGAACTCTCACACAGTCTTATTCTGAGGAATCCTGGAGGTAGAATTGCCATTTTAGATTGAAGTAGAGGTAAGAGCCATTTTGCTTTTCTGACCTTCTAATCAAACCTCAGTATCTGTCCCTGGGTTTTTATTAATCATGCTACACTTTAGTATTAGTTATTCTGCTCTCACATTCCTCCCTTTACCTAACACTCTCATCCACTCCCCTACTTACTATACCTGTTCCATTTCACATTTTATGGATATATTTTCCACTTCCTTTGTAGATGTCCTCTTCCCTCACAACCTCTTATTGATACCTAACATCTATTCCAAATGAAGCACACATATTATAAGTAGAGTTGAAATACTTAAGATAATACTCTGCCTGTTTTTTTTATGTCTGGGTTACCTTGCTCGAGAGGACTGTTTTCATTTACCTGAAATTTTGTGAAAATTTCATATTTCTTATCAGCTGAAGAATGCCCCACTGTGTAAATGTGCCACATTTTCACAATTCACTCATCAGCTGATGCACATCTAGAGTGTTTCCAATTCACAGTGATTATGAATAGAGCAGCAAAGAACTTGGAAGAGCAAGTATCTCTGTGGAAAGATGCAGAATTTTTGGAAGCCCCCAACTAACAACTTGAAGGGTGGGTTCCCATGCCTGGCACTTGTGGTTTTTTTTATTGCATTTGGAATACATTCCAGGCTTGACAAACACTCTTGTGAGAGATTCTATCTATGTTGTGCTATTTAAGTAGTTTTTTGAGTTTAAAAATGCTGTTTGACATTTAATTTTGTCTCCTAAACAGTAAGAGAGCATATACTAATTTGGTGTTCTTTCTGAGCACAAGCATGAATCTTTCTTGGGGGTCACAATGGCCTTTGATTTCAGATCTTTCTTCCTTTTCAGAGAGATAAATATGAGTAGTAGAGAATTTTCTTTAAACCAGTATTTTGTTTCCAGAATTGAGATTGATCAAAACCTTGGCTTCCTTCCTTCCATTGCAGAAGAATTATCAGAGATCCTAACTCTAATCCCAGGATGAGCTCAGGATTTAAGCAAAGTGCAATGGCCTGTGAGAGTGGACATGAAGGGGAAGGACTTCTCAAGAGCCTTTCAGGATCAGGCTGCCTCCTACAGGTTGTATAGAAAAGAGAAGGAACTGCCTTTTGGTCAGTATCTCAAGAGTTCCAACAGTTGTGCTTGCTTAGCAGATTAACTAATTGATTGCTATTGGGGAGTGTGAAAGATTCAATGAGAAAGACCCCATAAGCTCATCTATCTGAATGTTTGATTCTGAGTTGGTGGACTGTTTAGTACAGAATAGTAGGTGTGGCCTTGTCACAAGAGGTGTGCCACTGATGGTGGCTTTAGAATCTTAAGTCCAAACTAGGCACAGTCTCTCTCTCTCTCTCTCTCTCTCTCTCTCTCTCTCTCTCTCTCTCT